ACTAAGTGAGAAACTTAAGTAAAGTGAAATCAAGGAAGCCAATATTGTGAAAAAGGTTTAATTTTTTTTTTAATTTATACATGTTAGGTTTTTTCACTTTGGTTTCATTTACAGTATGAGACGTACAGGGTTAGGTGCTCAGAATAAAAAGATGAAGCTAATTCACCTTTTTAAGTTGCTGCAAGGTTGCAGTAATGCTGTACTTCTACTAAGGATTCGTAGATAACAAGATTTTGCAGGCACATTAATGAGGCAATTACTAAATCTTCTGATTTGAATTTATCCTTGCAGGAACAGTTGTAAAAGCAATGGAGAACCTGTTCCAGTAAGGCAGAGAAAAGTTTCTCAACCAGGGCCAGTGCCATTACTAGCATGGACACCTTTTGCAGCTCCAGTCTCGGTACCTGTAACACCCACACACATTGATGGCAGAGTGATATTTCGGGTAATGCTTAATTGATATGATTAATTTGTTATCATTATTTCTAGTACAAAAGTCTAGTCTACAATTAGATAAAGGTAATATACTGGGTAAATTTTCTTCTTCCATTGACACAGTTGTCATGGCAAACATCAGAGAGGTTGTCAAAGTAGACACAGTTAGGTTGACAGTAACAATAATAATCATAACAATAACACCTTTATTTAGACACGATAATGTTTAAAGCTGAACAGCTTGTGGGGTTGTGTGTAAATCTAAATTAAATGAGTTCAAATGATGATGGTTTTTAAGGAAAGAGGGAAAGCGGAGTACCTGGAGAAAAACCTCCCGGAGCAAAGTAGAGAACCAACAAACTCAATCCACTTATGATGCTGGGTCTGGGAATCAAACCCAGGACACATGGGTGGAAGGCGAGCGCTCTCACCACTACGCCAACCCTTCTCCCCCACTTTATTATGATGGTAACACAAAGATATCTTCAAATTTTAACTCTAACCAAGATTGCTGTTGTGGCAAACAGTAGAATTGGGTCAAACACAAACCTGATTTTAGTGGTATCTAATTGAGAATTATTCTACAAGCTTCCAAAATTTTAATCTTAAGTTTGCCTATGACCTCACAGCACATTGAATCTCTTCTCACAAATGTTTCTCACCACAATTTTTCTAAGCTATCTGGAACAATTGTTTATTTGTTAAAAAAAAATAATTTTAGGCATTTTAAGAAAATTTAGGGGTTGTTAAAGATGGTATTGCTTTCTATTGCCCAACACAGATGAATATACTTGTTTTCCCACAGAATTCAACAGATCTGCCACAGAATTTCTGTACAGAACACACTGACTACCTTAAGATGACCAAAGAGAAGCTTGGAAATGGCTCCAATGGTGATATTTTTACCATTTATTTGCAAAGTGACAGAAGCAAAAAGATGGCTTTAAAAGAGGTAAGATTGTATTGTTTAGAAAAAAAGATTATTTTACTTTTTGTCTTCAACATCGTTGTGGGGGATCTTATTGATTGAAATACACTCTAAGCCCTGGTCTTAAAAATGACAATCTGAAAGAAGACTGTTGACTCTTCCAGACTCCACTCAAAGAGAACAGCTGCTGGTAGGACTCTGAGACAAGAAGATACTTCTGTAACCTCTTAAGCTATAATTTCAGAGCCAGTAGAGAGTACTGATGTATTTTTTTCTTTTGTTTTTTAAGACGAGGTACCCCATTGGTAAAGAAGAAGTAGAAGTGTACAAGTTGTTGGGTGATCATCCGCACATTGTGACTCACTATGCAGGAACATTAAGGGGCCATAAGGGACATGCCAATATCTTCATGGAGAAGTGTGGTATGTTACAACTACTCTCATTTTCATCCTTATTTAACTGATGCATTAGCATATTAGCTGGGTTTCACATTATTTTTTTTTGTTTCTCTAACCCTTTTACTCTCAAAAACTCATCATTAATTCTCAAACATTTCACTGCGCTATTTAGGACCTAAATTATGGAGTAAACTGACAACTTATAACAGATCAGCCACAACATTAGCTAGTTTCAAAAACCGCAGACGTAAGCATGACCTCAGCTCCCTATTAGATAGTTTGAACATATCAACAAAGTTGAAATAGTAAATTGGCCACCATTATGATTATAAAAGCTGACGTTTCAAGCGTTAGCCCTTGGAGCGTTAGCCCTTCATCAGAGTTAGATGATGGCTGCAGGAGCTGTGCTCTATGTACTTCTTAATTCATTTCATATTTTTTCATAAATGATATGACTTAATTTTATTCTTAAGTAGGTAATATTCTTTGTAACTAATTTTTATCCATTTTATTTGTGTCCCCACATCAGTATGGGATATCTCCCAAACTAGAAGGTTCTTTGACACGTTAATAAAGTTTCTATCTGTCTATATCTATCTAAAGTTTCTATCTATCCTTACTGTCTGCAATACAAGTCTTATGATGTTAGTTTGGAGAATTAGGTTTTGGATCAACTAATAATCCCCCCGATTGATATTTTCCTTTATCCTCACCACTTTTTGGCTTTACATTGTATTTATTCTGTAAATTCTTTCTTGGTCACCCATGGAGTTAGAAGACTTCTTCTTTCTGCAGAACAATCTCTTTATGACTACATGGAGTCAATGTCAGAGGGACGCCTGGATGTCGAGAAAGCCATGTTTTATTGGCTTCAGATGCTCACTGCTGTGGATTACTTGCACAACTTGAAAATTCCTGTAATTCACAAAGACATCAAAGGTAAGAACATTTTGACAACAATTGCATTAGAATTGATTTTTTTCAGAAACTCTGTGTCTTTATGTAACTTAGTACTATTTGTAAAAAAAGTACTAGCTGTTCTATGACTTGTAGAAGTAAACTAAAACAGGCATTGGTAATGTATATATCAACATATTACAATATTAAGGCTTAATATGAGACTGTCTTATGAACTCTGATCTTTGTTTTCAGCCAAAAATGTGCTGTTGACAGCAGAAGGTTCACGGGCCAAACTGGCTGATTTTGACTCTGCAAGGAGGCTGCATCACGAACTCACTGAAGCTGGTCT